TAAATATAGAAATAATGTGGATTTTTGCAAATATTGTGAACCTATAACTTTCAATTCTTTCTCGTGATTTCTTCTTCTTCTATTAGCAAGGAGCTTATAATTATTTCTTGTTCGTTGTCATTCATTGTCGAGAAATATTAAAAAACACACTTATCACCGCAGACAGAATTCTGGAAGCGACTGAGGAGAAATTCGATTTGCAAATACGAGTGTAGTACGGGCAAAAAGAAACAAAATAGCGAATAAGGCTCCGCGCGCACTGAATAGGTATCGGTGAGAGCGAGCGGTACGAGCGGTGCGAGAGGCGCCAGCGGCGCGATCGGCACGACCGGTCGGAAAGTCGATTATAGCCGCGCACTGGAGTCGCACGATCGACGGTCGAGAGTACGTCACCAGCATAAATTTGAGCATAGACGAGGAGAGGTTTATTCAAATTTAGTCAAATTCATTCGGCATTTCAAAAAATTATAAAGTATTATTACTATTTATATTTTATGCAACTTTTTATATTTTATGCTTTATGATGGAAATTGATATTATTTAGATCTTAACCAAACACACATTAATATATTTAGATCTTAACAAACCACATAAAATTAGTGAAATAGAGTGGAAGATGGGGATAAAATATACTACATGACTCTTAGCTTAACCGATTTTAACAAATTTGGTATAACTCAAAAGGGTTTAATTTGTTCTTTAAAAACAAAGCTAGATATGAAAAATAGTCAAATAAAACTTCTATTTTTAGTTTTTAATCTAAATAAGTGTCATTACAAACATTTATATATAGCTTTTTATTTTAAGTTTTTAAAATCTTTGTTTTAAGTCAGTAGTAAATAAAACGAAACTTGTGTTTACATTTTGTTTAATGATTGACGTTTCGACCAATTTTAATTCGGTCTTCTTCAGAATCTATAATATACGTATAAATAATTTTCTACGTTTGTGGTAAGAAAAAATTATATATTAAGCACATTGTTAGTGATAAAATTATATTGTATATTATAGATTCTAAAGAAGACCGAATTAAAATTAGTCGAAACGTCAATCATTACACAAAATGTAAACACAAGTTTCGTTTTATTCACTACTGACTTAAAACCAAGATTTTAAAAACTTAAAATATAATAAAAAAGTCAAAGAAAATTGAAAAAAGAAAAAATATAAATAGTTTTTATAGTACCGTATTATCGAAAAGGAACGGCATCAGCGATGACCATGAAATGAAGGTCGGTGCCGTTTTATATGTAAATTTATATAGGAAATGTCATCATTCGTCATTTCCCATCCAACTGGACGCCGTTTTTTTCTATCATACGGTAGATATATGTACAAATATTTTATTCAAACATAAATATTATTTTCTCTATTTGTATCTTTTACGGAGCGATCAACATAGTAACATAGGATGACTATTTATCAGCTGTTATTACTAACGTCAAAACAAACCAAAAATTAAATAATATGATAAGTTTTTTGACGATATTTAAATTCGATTTTCAAAATAATGTGAGATAATCAAAACGAGATCAGAAATAAATGGGTTTAATCGGAAGGTTTTCTAATTCAGTTATTGAATAAGTGTAGTAAACAATATAGGTTACGTGCTTCTAAGAAATTTTTATAAAAAACCGCATATTAAGTATGATATGGTCTCGTACACTTTCGATTAATAATTCATCGGACATGTTTAATGTAAAACCGCTCCACTAAAAAGTAGACTATTCGCCCCCTCCCATGCATTCTCTGATTTCGCCTGATGGCGCGAATACATCCGATAGCTCGAAGCGCACCGAGCGCACCGGGCGCACCGATCTAATGCGGTGCGCGGGCTTACATTTATTTCAACGTAAACTGAAAATTACGTGTCGCTCGCTCTCGCCGATACCTATTCAGTGCGCGCGGAGCTTAAGGCGGCGCATGCGGCGCGTTCGGTACGGCTCAGTGGACGCAACAAGAAAAAATAAGTACGATTCGTGCGGCGAGTGCGGCGCTAGTCAGTGTGCGCGTACCTTAATACTTTCATAAATATCTAATTACCTACCTGTCATATTTATAATATATTATCTTTTTATTTATATTTTCTAAAAAAACGGTCAATGTTAGAAATAGAGGGTTAATATCAAAATTCATAAAATTTTACAGAGAATTTAAGTATGTAATAAAAAATGGGGGCACCCATTTAAAATAAGAAAGTTGCTGTCAACTTCCGGTATTTCCGGAAGAGCTGCCACATTGAAAATATTTTTAATCGATAGGTCTCGTTGTGAAAGTATGATGTGCAAAAAAACTACGAGCTAGATGTTGTACTTCTCTAGAAAGTTCTAATGCACGCTCAGCCTGGGACACCCTGTATACGTTATTATTTAATTTGAAATTAATTAAATCTGTGATTTTTAACAATATCGTGTTGACCACAGGAATATTTATCTTTGAATAAGAAGACTAAGGAAGGAGCATAATGCTATCCATGTATTCATGCATGGTGGGCGGAAAAAGCGCCATAAAAGCACTCTAGGGTGGGGATCCTTGACAGTTCTGTTTGACGATTCATTTGACACATTTCAATTTGATTTGAAATTTTGTGGATTTGTCAGTCTTTACGGAGCTTATTTTATGTTGTTTATTATTTATTCTACAACTGATAGTTGTATAAAGATAGTAAATTTAGATGGAAATTGTGGCAGAACTTAAATTAACAGAGACACTATCGCGATTTATCGAATAAGATTCTAAAATAGTTGGTTGTGTAGCGTGCGGTAGATCTCGGCAAAAATTGGGTGAAATAATGGAACAACGTTTCGCTAGTAAGTGGCTATATAATATACATACGTGTAGTAAACCGATCATTTATGAAATTCACTTAAATTAACTAAATTATATATTTTTCTTGCATTTTAGCTTTTATTTATTACTTGTCAAAGAATAGATGTCAAAGAATTTAGATACGTTAATTTGACTTACTACCAACATTTATTCACAACGTAAAATAAAACAACAAATTATTGAGTCTACCCCACGTCTACCCTACATCATAGTTTTACATTTTTTAAATAAAATTAGAACGACACTGATAAACCGGAATTTAAGTCGGCCATATTTGAGGCCCATCGCGGTGTACCTAAGATTTTTGATATGTTCCTTCCTTAGTCTTCTTATTCAAAGATATTTATCTGATCTGTTATATTTTAACTAATCGATGTTTTTTGAATTTAATCGATTGTTCTCTTAGTGCCAATAGGGCAACGGCCCAGCTACGTCGAAACGCAGGTTCCCATTAGAACACCGAAGTTAAGCGATGTAAGGCGATACTAGTGCATGGACGGGTGACCGGTTCGAAACTCTGTATCGTACTGTTGTCCAAAAAAAGGCAAAAGTGTAAAATCTATTGACACACACTGCTCATTCACGCCGGTTCGAGGCCGGATGAGATCGGATATCTCGTGAGTAAGAGTCGATTTAGACACTTGCCAAGTCGGTAGGCCATTGACCATGATATGGCCGAGGACCGCGGTTAGGATTCCGCGTAAACAAAGTAGGCCCCGTCCAGATTAGCCCTGGCAGCAAAAAGGAAACGTTAACTGAAATCTTTACTTTACTTCCTTAGTGCCAATACATGGTCAGTTTCCTGCGATGTTCTCTATAAATATCTCGGAAACTACTGTAGCTAGAGAGTCGGTTAAATGGGGAAAGAATTGCAGTTTCGTGAGGACAAACATATGAGTCTTTCGGCATTTTAAAGAAGTTTATGGCGTACTAGATATTTCGAAAAAAAAATCGGCTATTTTAAAAATGCTCCCTAATTCCATTATAATATATTTTAAACAAAAAGTTTTCAGATAAGAGTTGTAGATAATCATATCCTTAATGAGATTGTGTTCTCCGTTTTTTTTTTCAAAAACCTGTCATTCTTGAAATATGACACAAACACATTTTTTTAAATGGAAAACATATTTGGCCATGACTTCATAAAAGGCGCCCTTTTTCAGCTTTTCAGTGATACAATTTTCTATTTTATTTTATATTATTTTCTGTTTTATTTAAACACATACAACCAATCAATAGTTTAGCTCCATTTCTAGTTATATTGAATATTTACTTAGCTTAGTTACATCACGAAGGAAATTATTAAAAGTCGACAATTATAAAAACGCATCTCGCTTTTCTGTAACAATTAGGCCATCCAAGTGCGTTTTAAAAACCACAATAATTGCACAAACGACACTTCAAAGACCTGTATCAACAGCGCTAAATAAATCTTTGGCGGGAGAATTTTTCGCGCTACGATGGTCTCTAACAAATTCCGGTAATTGACTACCATCTGGTGAGGTCAGCAGCTAGAGCGCCGCCATGATGTCATTAGATTGCGTGTGAAATGGCCGGCCGCGCTGAAATTATAGACACAAGTCGATTCGATGGTAATAAGTTTCAAATCCAGCTGGCGGATTATTAGTGCGCTCGAAACGGTTTAATCGATTTATAATGTAGACGTCAATTTTGACCTGTTGACATCGTCGTGATTTAGTGAAGTATATTATATTTAAACGTAAATATCACTGAGCAACAGCCAAAATGTATCTTAAGAGTCCATTTCACTAGTCAGAAAAAGTAGCAAAATAAGCGTTCGGCATTTAACGTTTTATCACGAACACATTAAAAACAGTATACACTCAGCTGCGCTGGAGGCCTTGGGACCTTATGAATATACTAAAAGTAAAAAACCATATTGGTGGGATCCAGATATAGAAAGTATTATAACTGAAAAAAGACAAAAATATCAACAATTTTTAAATACAAATAGTGACAATGATAAAGTAGAATATAAAAAAATACAAGCAATAGTCAGGCGCAAAATAATACAGAAGAAAAATGAAGCTTGGGAACGAAAATGTATGAAAATCAATACTTATCTGGGTGGAAGAAAAAGTACTGAAAGCTGGAAAATGATAAAACAATTAAGACAAAATCAAAATAAGGACATAATATCGACAGTAATAATGGACAAATGGGAATCGTATTTTAACACATTACTTACCGAGAACAGAACATATTTTGAGACAGGTAAAGAAACACAAGAAAGGATAACAGTAGCCGCATCTTCCCTCAGAATAACAACTAAAGAAGTAAGGGAGACATGTAAAAATTTAGAAAATGGTAAATCCGCAGGCCCGGGAGATATACCAGGAGAACTAATAAAATATGGAACGGAAAATATGTACCGACATATAACAAAACTCTTCCAGATGTGCATAGATGGCGCAGAAGTACCAAAAGATTTTAAAACCTCATATATCACGACGATTTTTAAAAAAGGAAATCGAGAAGACTGTGCAAACTATAGAGGCTTGGCAGTGACAAGTACATTAAGTAGAATATATGGAAAGATACTAAAGAATAAAATAGAAAATGAATATAAAGAGATAGAAATAGAAGAACAGGCGGGTTTTAGAGCGGGAAGGTCTACTATGGATCATCTCTTTACCATAACACAGGTCTTAGAGAAAAAACGGCAAAAGATCAAGAGGTACACTTACTATATATAGACCTCCAAAAGGCTTATGACAGCATACCATTAAATAAATTGTGGGAAACGTTGGAAATAACTAACATAAATGTCAACCTACTTATAAAGCAGTTAAGAACTTATACCAGAACACCACAGCTAGAATAAAAATACGAGACTCATTGTCAGAGAGCATAAAAATTACAAAAGGCCTCAAGCAGGAATGTTGCCTATCTCCTATACACCCTATTTTTTGCGGACGACCAGATAGTCCTAGCCCAAGATCACGACGACCTTGAATATATGGTAAGGAAGCTGATAGAGGAATATAAAAAATGGGGGTTGGAGGTAAATATCATCAAAACTGAATCTATGACTGTAGGGGGGCCACAAGAACATAGTCTTAGAGGATGGAAGCGTGATAAAAAACTATGACAAATATAAATATCTCGGATTAAAAATAACTAACGATGGAAAACTCGACGAGGGTATAAAAGATCGAATAATGCAAGGCAGAAGGGCAATATCTATGTTAAATGATGTACTGTGGGATCAAGGAATCTCTAAAGCTAATAAGAAGAACATATATAATACGGTAGTGAAAAGCATAATAACTTACGGAAGCGAAGTATGGCAGTTGAAAAGCAGAACAGAGAACATGCTATTAGCGACCGAAATGGATTCCTGGAGGAGATCTGCTGGAAAATCGAAAAGAGAACAAATAACCAACAACAGAGTAAGGAAGATATGGGAGCAGAACACACAATTGTGGACGACATAAGAACAAAACAACTCATATGGTTTGGTCATGTGCAACGAATGCCCGATCACAGAATACCAAAACAAATTTTACTGTGGACACCTCGAGGCAGAAATAAAAGAGGAAGGCCTGGCTAAATAGACAAGAGTGGAGGTTAGGTGTCGGAAAACGTCGTAGAACGTTCTGAACCGACTTATAAATAATATTTAACGTTTTATTCTGGCTAGGTATTTTTACACAGATGAAGAATGAAATTAAAAATATAAATGATTATACTATATCCGTATTGTAGCACCTTTTTAGACAACTTCCTTATTTTTAAGATGTTGAAGGTCAAACATCAATAAAATATTCCTTATGTTTGGACTAACTTTTAAGACATAATCGAGGACATAATTTAAAATTCCGTTACAATAACGAAATAGATTGAACTTTTTGATTACAGTGATATATAATTTATATGGTTTTGTAACAAATTGCACGCTATTTTATGGCAAATTCTGAAGCTCTGCAAATCTTAATCCAGTCTTAATCAAAGCACGTGTGTTTGGAATTTTGGATGTGGCTTAACACGACAGGATAGGGCTAAGCCCTTAGGCAGATTTCTGAGAGTGACCCGAACAGTACAGTGTAATAGACTCTTAAATAAAATCAACAAAATCTTACTATTTTGGCTGTACTAAAATTGAAAATAAAGATATTTTTTAAATATTACTTTAAGTTTTAGAGATATGGTTTATGGGTCTCTTTATACTACTCGTAATAATAATAATAATAATAAAGGACTTTATTTAGTAGAAAAGAAGAAATACATAAATAATAAAAATCGATAACATTTTCCAACAATTGCCGTTCGACAGCAGGCGAAGTCTAGCAGAGATGCTAGACTACTATTATTCCGCAAGAATAATGTGGTATAATACTACTATTATACCGCAAGAAAGAATGTGGTTTACTTGTTCTCAGCGTTGAAGTCGTGATTACTAAATCCCGCTTAAGATGGGCTGGTCACGTATGCAGGATGCAAGAAAACTGCTTACCAAAACCTCTTTTTTTGAGCTTGTAGAAGGTAAGGGGAAACCGGGTGGAGAACTCAAAAGGTACAAGGATATTTTCCACGAAAACTTTAATGGAATAAGCATGCAGAAACAGTGGGAAGAAGCAGTGCACTATAGAACGCAATGAAGAAGAATTAAAGCTCAGTTAACATGGACAACCAAAAAGTAAAGAGGCAACAAAGTCAGGATGGCAATGTCCGGAGTGTGGAAGAGAGATCACCTATGGTTTTTTTCAGTCACAGAAAAGCTCATGAAATAAAATGCCTTACGTCACCATCTTCTGATGCGTTTCAAATACTGGTCAGCGAGTAATGGCAGTAAGGAAGTAGGATTAACTTGTATATTCTGTACAAAAATATGATGCAGTCGACTCGATAATTTTGCATAACTGCAAATTAAATTTTGGCCTAATACAAAACTTAAATCTCTTAAATCACTAATTAGTAATCATTAGTAGTCAAAAAAATCCGAGGCTAAGCGAAGCAAAAAATAAAGAAGCTATTTTGTAGAACAATCCGAAATATCCTGAACGAATAGTCTGAAAGACGAATCCTTTTGATAAAACTTTAACAGATATTGAAAAAAAGCTTGGAATAATTTTCGCCTGATGCTCACCAATTCTGGTTAAAAAAAGTTTAAATGTACCAAATGTACAAAAGATAGATATATTTTTTGTCACATTCTGTCTAGGCAAGCTGTAGTAATGTATTTGTTATTTTTAATTAAATGTGTATAAAATGACTCTCATTACGTTAACATAATTTGGGATGTTTTTTTTTCCTTCCAAACAGACACAAATATAGATGATATCCCAATTAAAATCCCGAACACGTCGTAAAAATAATTAACGAATTAGTGAATAACGATGACTCTTTGTCAGACAAAAAGAGTTGTGATATATCTTTAGATAATGATTAATTTTCTAACATTTCTAACATGGTCGCATTCTAGGAGTTTTTTTTGGAGCAAGAGACATCTTATAATATAATAACATGTTTTGGTGTCAATTAAAAATTATCTATGCTCACCGACACGAAAAACGGACACCTTAAAATTTTGATGTAATTTAAAGTTTAATATATTTTGTTCTAGCGGGCCGATTTTGATGATTTTTGAAGCAATTTGCAGCTAAATTATTCAACTTATATATTGAGTATCTCTTTCTAAATTAAAAATGAAAGTTTCCTCCTGTCAATTATACGAGGGAAAAGAAAATGTTGATATTTTGGTGAAAGTTTGAAACTCCCTGTGGAATATGTTAACAAAGCAAGGAATTTAAAAATCATTTTATCATCTAGTTACGTAGTACATATAATTATTGTTTATTGATGTTTACTCTAGTAAAGATAGTTTTAAGTTCTGAAGCATCGGCTATTGCTGCTTTAATTGATCATGAACGAAGATCAGCTTTTGGACTTTAAACCATATCCGCTAGAGTAATTCCTAACAGACAATAATAATATGATTTTTCAAAGACAATGATATTAAATAAATTATAAACACCATTTTATAGGTCTGTGGACTAGGACTAAAAGCAAAGGCATAGTTTTAATGTGAAAAATACGTAAAATTGTTAGTGTCTTCTTCAAAAGCGAATATCTAAAAATTATAGTGCTATTGAGATGAATCAAAAAACAAAATATCGAGGAAAGTTGCACTTAGATGATAAAATGATTTTTATATTCCTTGCTTTGTTAACGTACTCCACAGGGTGTTTCAAAATTTCACCAAAATTTCAACATTTTGTTTTGTGTCGTTTAATTGACAAATGGCTACTTTCATTTTTAATTTAGAAAGAGATACTAAAAAGTCAAATAATTTAGCTAAAAATTGTTTAAAAAAGCATCAAATCATCGGTCCACTAATACAGTAAATATATTACGGCTAAAAAGGATACTTGGCTAGTATAAAACTAGCCATCTATTTTGCAAACTAACTATAAGCGCTGTTATTTTGAAGGAATCCGCCTATTTCTACAAAACAGCCGACAACCGTAGCTAGTTTATACAGGGTGGGCCAATGGAAACTTTCCACCCCAATTTTTAAACTGAGGTAAAATCCCCATCCTAACCAGATTTTGTAAATAGTTTGCATACTAACCAGTTAAAATACAGGGTGGGCCAATGGAAATTTTCCACCCCAATTTTTCTCGTTTAAAATTAAAATTTGGAAAAACGCCCGGACCCGTCGATTTAGTTTTCGAGGGGGAAAATAAAATATCATAAAATCACTTTCACACCTATAAACACCAAGGCGGGGGCGGCGCCACCCCTAAATTCTTAAATGGAAAGGGGGGCCGAGTGATACCTCATGTGAAAGGTCTTTCAATTCCCTTTTTTAATGATATAAAATATCATCTACTTTTGTTCAGTGGTTTTAGAGATTTATTGATTTAAAGTAGATTTTAATTTATCAGCTAAGTGGTGAAAAAATCGGTTTTTATTTTTTTTCTCTGTATGTATTTTTTTGGCAAACTATGTATACTAAAAATTTTAACTAATCAATACACGCCCAAAAATCTTTTACTTCGGAATAAGTGAAAAATGCTCAATTTTAGCTAGTTTACATACTTACCAGATAGTTTACAAAATGTGTTTTAATTATTTTTGTTTGTTAATGTACAGTGTTAGGATGGATCGGAAAATATGATAAAATAATAAATTCAATTTACATTTAAAAAATTTATTTATAAAAAATAAATTTTAACAAATTTTAAACACAAACTGTATAATACATAACGAAATGTTTTTTAACGATTTGTTTAACCAACCAAACCAATATAATACTCATTGACATTTTACAAATAATAACTTTTTATTTTTTAGAAAAAATCGTTAAGATTAGATTTTTAACTCAGATAAACCCTCTTATTTCTGGGTCAAATCCAGTGGCGTATCCAAGGGGGGGCAAAGGGGGCAATTGCCCCCTCCAGACACGACGCGCGCCGGTCCTATTTATATTTTAAACAATAATTTAAATGCCAGCTTCGCAGATATTTTTACAGAAGCAAACAGAAACATGAACGAATTGTTTGGACAGGAAATAAAAAAAAAACGAATAACTAGTAGACAAAAAAACAGGCTGAATTTTAAAACTGAAACTGCTCAAGATTATTACAGATTATCAATCTTTATTCCTTTTTTAGATTACGTAGTATTCCATTTGGAAGAACGATTTGTTAAATACAAAGACATACTACGGTCATTTAGCTCTCTTATATTC